TAGATGTAATTATTTTTAATTTGGGCCCGTATTTGTAATTACTTTCACTTTCCGGGCCCTTATTTGTAAATTCCCCTTGATTTTATCAATAACTAATGTATACGACTCATGCAATCGATAAATACTACATACAAATCATACAATCAACAATATAACGTATACGTAATTGATTATAATTGATTATATACTACACAAGCTATTGTGTTACATACTGATTATATAAACTCTGGAAAAATTCATTAGCCACAATTTTGATATGGATTCAACTTTAACACCAAGAGACGAATTAATCGCTGATTACACCAAATTATTTAATGAACGTGATAAAAATGCTGATGTTGAAATCACAATATCAGACACTGAAAATAAAATTTTAGCACACTCTTCAGTCCTTGAAGCTAGGTCAAGTTATTTCAAACAAAGTCTTTCTGAAAAATGGGCAAAAAAGAATAATGATGGAAAATTCACATTAACCTTTGTCGATATCGAACATGATACAATGATTATTATATTGAAATATCTTTATTACGCAGAAATTTATGATCATGAAGATTTTTACATTTTTTCAAAAGTTTTAGTCGCATCTGATAAATTCAACATGGAGACCCTCTCTAATTGTGTTCAAGAAACACTTGTTAAAAAAATATTGGTTTTTATCAAAAAACATCTATTCGATCTTTTCAAATTTATTATGAAATATCAAATATTTACTACCATAGATAAACAATTTATGCGTGAAATTGCAAAGAACCCTTACCTTTTGTTCAACTCTGAAGATTTCGTCAGACTAGAAGAAGAAATGTTGCAAAAAATCTTATTATGTAATGAACTAATGATTTCTGAATCTAAAATTTGTGAGTATCTAATCAAATGGAGCAATGTGGATAATAACGAAACTAAACTCGAACCATTATCCAAATTAATTCGTTTTCATCAAATGCAAAAAGATGAGTTTTTTGATCTTTGGAAAAAGTACAAAAATAAAATAATCTCGGATGAATTGTTAGAAGATATAATTGGATTTTTTATGTGTAATAATCCACCAAAACTTAACAAAACACCATTTAGATTAGGAAATTACCAAATTTCCAAAATAATCAGTAAACATGAAGATTTCTTGGAAATTTCTTCTTGGATCGATGATGATAAAGGAAAAGGATCATTTAGATTTGATCTTATATTTGATGACAGTTTTTTTGGTGATATTTTCCACGCAAATTCATTCCATAAAATATGCGACGGAAAATTTTCAACAATCACCTTATTTGCTTTAGATAACTGTATTGTTGGAGGATATAACCCACTTGGTTGGTCCTGTGAAAACAAATACTTTTATTGCGAATCGAATTTTATATTCACATATAACAATAATCCTAAAGATGCTAAACTATCTCGTGTTTCAGAAAAGGAAAAGGCAATTGGACGTAATATAAAATATGGACCTTGGTTTGGTGCAGGTCCAGATCTTCGTGTTCAACACGAATCGAAGAAAATCGAATTAAAACCAAGATCATACCCCAAATTATTTGATTCTAACGCAGAATTTAAATTTCATACAATGGAAATCTTTAAAGTAACAAGAATATATGATACATAATACATTAAATACTTTTTCCACGTTCAATTATTTCATATATAAAATGTGCATTATAAGATTAGACAAAATACTTCTTATAAATATCAAAATAAGCATTATAGGATTAGACTAAACATTCTTATTATTATAGATATTAATATTTCCCCCTTTTTTTTTTCTTAAAGTTCACAATTTGTTTGTTTTGCGCTAGTGGTTTTTTTTTTTTTTTTAATAAAATTCAAATTATAAAGAAAAAATTTCTATAAAAAAAATATTATGAATATCGGCCATACTTGTATTATTGCATGCTGTAGAGGGCGAAATGGCTCCGGGACAGATATGGGTCGAAATATGGATAACACAAATACTACACTATAAACACTAATACTAACTAAAACTACTCTAACTCTAATAATGGAAGACTTTCGATTGGGCGTGGATAAACTTGGTCCAGTAATTAGGGTCAATGGGTAAGATCTTTAGATTACGTCACAAAGTTCGATTATGGAACCACGAGATTGGATCACTATTTCTTTACACTTATTTCACTATCGGGAAAGAGGGACAAACACCTAATAGATGCTAAACTCTAACCGAGTTCTTTTATTGAAGGTAAAAAAAGTGTCTCTTTATATGCATGCTATTTCATATAGAACGAATTTATAAAATTTAAATTTAAAAAATTATCGAAATTCACTAAGTTTAAGAAATTTAACAAATTCGCAAAATTTAAGAAATTTACAAAATTTACAAAAACTTACAAAATTTACAAAATTTTGAAAACTTGCCGTCGCTTGTCAAAGGGGGTAATTTTGCCGCTTACACAGTGTATTAGGTTGAGTAATACTAAAGCGCTACGTCTTTATCCAATATTTTCGCTCCTGCCCTTGATTAAAAATATATTTTTTCTCTTGCAAGGTTTATGATTAGGAAATTTTCCTGTGATTTGCATATTATTCGTAATATCAGATATCAGGCGTACGTACGTACGTGGTATAACACTAAAAACTAGTCTAACAAGGGTCGCTACTAGGAAAAAACCTAACACAAAGTCTACTAAATCTAATAAATTCACTCTCAACACTTTAACTGGTAGGCTCGATTGAGGCGTAGATTGATTTGGTCCGAGAATAGGATGTTTATGATTACTGCGGTGATCATGGGGACAAGACAATAACAATATGCGAAATTCTACAACAACGTAACTAAGGCCATGCAAAGTTGATTTTTCGTTTTGCATTACCCGCCGACCCAAATTTTTCAAAATCCCTATTTTTTTTTTTTT